TCCCTCCCCCATAACTTCCCTCCCACCTGCAACCCTCCCCTTTCTCTCTCCCTCCCCCCTTCCATTCACATCAAGATTCATATTTTTTAAAAGATATATTATTTATTTGAAAAGCAGAGTAAGAGAGAGAGAGAGAGAATATGAATCTTCCACCTCCTGGTTCATTCCCCACATGGCAGAAATAGCCAGGGCTGGGCTGGACTGAAACCAAGAGCCAGGAACTCCATTTGGGTACCCAACGTGGGTGGCAGGAACACAAACACTTGGGCCATCTTCTGGTGTTTTCCCAGGCACGTTAGCAGGGAGCTGGATTGGAAGTAGAGCCCATATGGAATGCCAGCATTGCAGGCAGCTTAACCCATCACACCACAATGCTGGCCCCAGCAATTACACCTTTAAATAGCAAAGAGGCAAGACGCTCTTTAGTTTTTGGATTTCCTAATTCCTGTCATTCAGTCTTTCTTAATTCAGTCCTTTCACTTTCTCACCATGAATTGATTACACTGAATGCTGTTAATAAGCCCTTGTTTTAACCTACTTATTTTCTGCATAATTAATTGACTTTTTAGAATTAGAGAAAAACTGAGCAGATCATACAGAGAACTGCATATATCCACCTCCCCCACCCAACATAGGCACGAAGTTCTCCTAGCATTGACATTTTGCATTTATGTGGTACATGCTGTAATTTCAAACTAATATGAACACATTATTATTAACTCAAAACTACAATTGTTTTTGTTTCTATTATTCTAATAAATTTTATTAGATATGTTCAAGTTGTTGAACCTATTTTTCATAGCTCTTCTTATTGTATCCTAACCATTGTGGTAATAAAGAATATTCTCTCATAAGTAAATCTTTAAAAAAAAAAAAAACACTCTCTCCCTTAAAGTCTAAGTGGGAGGACAGATAATATAGAAATAAAAGTACAGCAAATACTTAACAAGAGTTAGACCCAGTTCTAAGTACTACAAGTTCACAATAGCCACACTTAATAGGTATCCTAGTTATGTGGATAGGAAACTGAGGCACAGAGGTTAAGCAAATTGTCCAAGGTCACAGAGCTAGGAGAGAACTGAGCCATGATTTCAACATATGCCTGCAGAACACATGCTTTCAATCACTTCCTACTGTTACCTTATGAAGTAGTAAGTCCTACAGATGAAAAATGTCACTACTTATGAATGTAAATAGTCCACATGCTATATATCTCATATTTTATAAGGCCTTCTTTGTAGGAGCATGACAGGAAATCATTATTATAGCACAATATTGAAACCTCAAAAAACATGTAAGTGCATAGCATTTTTTAAGAAACTGGATATGTAAACTTATCAGCTTTTCTTTCTGTTTTTGTTTTTTAAAGTTTTTTTTATTTATTTGAAACACAAAGCAATAGTTAGAGAAGGAGCGAGAGGAGAGACAGATTTTTCATCCACTGGTTTACTCTCCAAATGGTCACAACTGCCATGGCTGCACCAAGTTGAAGACAGGAGCCTGGAACTCCATCCTTGTGTCGCTCCTGTGTAGAAGGGTCCCAAGTAACTGGGCCACCGTCTGCTGCTTTCTCAGGCACATTAATGGGGAGCTTGCTCGGAAGCAGAGCAGCTGGGACTAGAATCAGCACAGCAATGTGAGATGCCAGTATTGCAGCTGGCAACTTAATCCACTGCACAACACTAGCATCCCCCTTTTTTTTCTTTGAATCCCTTAAGGATTTCAATTATTGTTTGTCTGTTTTTAAATTAAAACATAAAGATCATACATATTCTGGGGGTATCATGTGACATTTCAATACACACATATATTATATAATGCTCAAATCAGGGTTTGCATATCTATCTCTCAAACATTTATCATTTGCTTGACTTCTGTCATATGCAACATCCACCTAAAGGAGACAGTATTCAGAAAACAGCCAACTCTGAATGCATACTTATGACCCAAGACACAGTGAGAAGTTCGTTGATTCAAATGGGTTATAGAATTGCCCATTTCCACCTTGTATTGAAGTCTAGGTAGCAGAAGTTGCTATAACCATGCCTGCTGTCTATCATAAGTTTCTCTAGAGATCTTCCTACCATTTCTCTATTTCATGTGTTGCTGAAGTAGTCATTTCATTTACTGTATCCTAAGCCATAAAGAACCTTTCCTTATCAAAGTCATTATGAAAAGTTAAGAACAATGGGTGATTTTACCAATGATATTACCAAAGATGATTAAAATTCCTCCATGTTACAAGCTTTCTTGTTATCTTTTTGAATATTTTTCCCTAAGGAAATGATAGAAGTCCCATTACTGAAGACATAAAAATGTAGCCTAGACAAAACAATCTAAATCAAATTGTGAGATATGAGCAAAATATTTTGACAGTTCATGTCTCTACTCTTTTTCCAAACTGAAAAGCTAAAAAAAATCACTGGGAGAAAACAATGAGCAACTCTTTTACCCTTGCAAAGTCTGAAATGAGGGTGTGGCATATTCTTGATGGATCAGTCCACACAAGTACTTTTCTACACTGCTTAACTCATTTTACATATTTATTTCCTCACCACAATGATAATTCAAAAGAAATATGGCAAATATGTGAAACTGGGTACCTATCACAGAGTTGCATTGTAAGGTATTAATACCCTGGTCCATTACTATACCCTTGTGAAAAATCTCAATCTATTTTTTCAAAGCTTCCCTCAATTATGTGGACCTCCTACTCCCAATCCTCTCCCAAATAACTCAGAAGTTCTTTGTCCACTAAGATAGACTTTTTCATAAAAGTCAGATCTTATTTTTCCCATGATGAAAGCTGAAGTAGGTTTATTTATAGGTGTGTACATGGAAACATATGCACTGAATGATCACATGTTCTCTTATTTATTAAAAAGCACATCATTTCGGAGCAGGCATTTAGTCTAACAGTCAAGACACTAGGATGCCCACACCCGATATTGGAGCACCTGGGTTATAGGGTTCGTATGTAACAGAAAAAAAAAAAAAGAGAGGTAGTATTATAAGTCTGATTCTTGTATACATAGGCTGTAGATGTAATGCCCTCCAATCCTGGGCTCAGACAAATAAACACCTTTGATGCTGCCCTCTACTCCCACCCTCAATCCTCACCTCCGATCCCCATATCAGCTCCCTCCCACCTACAGACCAAGGGCACATCCACACCTGCCCCTGGCCTCTAGTGACCCCAGTTAAATTTAATATTTTATAATAACCGATCAGGAAGCCAGCATGTGGCACAGCAGGTTAAGCCACTGCCTACAACACCAACATACCATATTTGCGTGCAAGATTGAATCCCAGCTGCTCCACTTCCAATCCAGCTCTCCGCTAATGGCCTGGGAAAGCAGCAGAAGATGGCCCAAGTTCTTTGGCCCCTGTCCTCCGTGTGGAAGACCTGAATGGAGCTCTGTGTTATGCTGTGACCTGGACCAGCTCTAGATTTTGCAACCATCTGGGGAGTAAATAAGTGGATGGAAGATCTTTCTGTCTCTCATTCACCCCTCTCTATCACACTTCCTTTCAAAATAAATAAATCCTTAAAAAGAAGCTATCAGTAAAAAAGTTAGACTTTTTTTAAAAAAATTATTTATTTATTTTTTATTTATTTGAAAGGCAGAGTTATAGAGAGAGAGGGAGAAAAAGGGAGACATCTTCCATCTTCTGGTTCATTCCCCAAAATGCTGCAATGGTAGGGGCTGGACAAGACAAGCTAGTAGCTCCATCCAGGTCTCTCACATGCATGCAGGGGCCCAAAGACTTAGAATGTTGTCTGTTGCTTTCCAAGCCACATTGGCAGGGAGCTGGATAGAAAGTGGAGTAGCTGGGACTTGAACCAGCGCCCACACAGGATGCCAGCATTGCGGGCAGTAGCTTAACCCACTATGCCACAGCACTGGCCCCAAGATCAGAACTTTTTAAATAAACCTTTAAAAACCACTTTAGCACTTTTATTCCTCATTGTTTATTGTTTTATTCCTATTGTTACTGAACAATTTTAAGAAGTTATTAACTCTGACCTTTCTGCACTACCTGGTGAGGGTTTCAAACGGCGTTGTTCTTGATTCCCTGCATAACTTAAAGGAAAGCTGTCACAATGTCCAGAGCCCTCAATGCCCTGCAGATGAAGGAGAAGCATGTCCTCAAATTCCCTGCTGCAGGAACCTACATAGGTGGCACCAACCTTGACTTCCAAATGGCACAGTACATCTACAGAAGGAAAAGCCATCGTAAGTCTGAAGAGGACCTCTGAGAAACTTCTGGGGGGGGCTTGTGCCATTGTTGCCATTGAAAATCCTTGCTGATGTCAGTGTGATATCCTCCAAGAACCACTGCCAGAGGCTGTGCTAAAGTTCGCTACTACTCTTATTGCTGGCCATTTCACACCTGGAGCCTGCACTAACCAGATACAGGCATCCTTCTGGGAGCCACATTTTCTGGTGGTTACTGACCCCAGGGCTGACCACCAGCCTCTCATGAAGGCCTCTTATGTAAACCTGCCTACCACTGCTCTGTGCAACACAGACTCTCCTCTGTGCTATGTGGATGTTGCCATCCATGCAACAAAGGAGTCCACTCAGTGGGTCTGGTGTGGTGGATGCTGACGTGGGAGGATTTGCACGGGCAGAGCACCATCTCCCGTGAACACCCATGGGTGGTCATGCCTGATCTCTCCTTCCACAGAAATCTTGCAGAGATTGGAAAAGAAGAGCAGGCCACTGCTGAAAAATCTGTAACCAAGGAGGAATTTCAGGGCAAATGGACTGCTCTAGCTCCTGAGTTTACTGCTACTCAGCCAGCCTGAGGTTGCAGACTGGTCTGAAGGCAAGCAAGTGCCCGCTGTGCCTATTCAGCAGTTCCCTTCTGAAGACAGCAGTGCTCAGCCCGCCACTGAAGACTGGTCTGCAGCTCCCACTGCTCAGGCCACAGAATGGGTAGGAACAGCCACCGAGAGGTCTTAAGCTGCTCTCCACAGTCTCTGAAGCAAAAATTGAAATAAAGTTGATGGAAAATAAACACCAGTTTCTTAAAAAAATGTTGACTCTGAATAAATATTTTATTGACCACTTAGCAAGTATCACATACTAAACAGACCTGTTCCTTTGAATCAAAGGAAAACTACATATATTACAGACAAGACAGCTAATACTTGAAAAGGCAAAACACCTTATCCAACAAGTGATCTGAACAAGATTTCAACTCATTTCTCTCAGTAGTCTTCCTCTAGACTTTTCCTGCTCTTGGATCTTTGCTTCGGTGTGGCCCAGCCCTGGTTGTTGCAGACATCTGGGGAGTGAACCAGTGGATAGAGGATTTCTCTCTGTCTTCTCTGTCTCTCTCTGTAACTCCACCTTTCAAATAAACAAAATAAATCTTTAAAAGAAAAAAAAAAGAAAAGAAAATCTTTAACTGAATTATATTATGAAGGCTTGTCACATGCCTAGCAATTGTCCTTTATGGCTATTTCTTCACAACTCCATACAAGAAGAAAAGAATTCAGCAACAATTGTACAAATTAAGTCCCTTTGCTTGATAGAAACAAACACTACCTTCATGAGGAGAAACAAATATTCCTTCTATCCATTAATAATGACTTACAATTCTATCTTGGAAAGCTGACTCTCACTGAGCTGTCATTGAAATAACACAAGGGAACACAAAAGGGAAAGAAAATCAAGGAGCACTGCAAAATAAAATACATAAACCTTTTTGCCTAAAGTCAAGTTCAGTTGGTTTATGTTTACAAATTATGACTATTTTAACTCACAAAAAATTCAAGACCACATTGCTTTATCTATCATTATCTTTATAAAAGGTCAACCACAGATTATATCCTGACTTTTACTGGTAGTGATTTTGGGCCACTTCATGGTAAGATACCCAGTGAATCCATGAGAACAAACTCTGGTGCAATAAATAATCACAGTTCCTTTTTATGGCTTTTCCCTCAAAGATCTCCCACAAGGCTCATTTAATTATACTGTTGTACATCATCTTTATCAAGTTTCAAAGTCCTCTAAAATATAATAAAAGGGAATGCTAAAGAGAATATAGAAAAGTGTGGTAGAGAATCTGGCATTGTCGGGTATATGTAATATAGCCCTTAAAAGCTGAAGTAAGCAATACTAAGCAAAATAGATTTAGAAGTTCATTTTCAAGGTATTATAAAATAATTCTCAGATTTCTCCACTATAAAAATAAAAATATAAAAATAAATGGTTTATTAGTTATTCAACATTGCCCTATCTATGATAATTCTTTGATTTAATGGTGATTTGATTCAGTTCCTTGATTTAAAGCTAGCTATGAATAAGAAACTGCTGCTTTACCAAAGTAGATTTCACTCCCATTCAAACACAACATGGAAGCAATAGTAATTTTTTTACCCAAATTTTGCCATTGAAAAGGAAAATCTATTCATTAACTATTGTTATCCATATTGGTTCTCTTTATGGATCATACTTTTTCCTTTTGGTTATTTAGTCAACGTTTCCAGAACAAAAATTTACTACCAGTTATGTTATTGAATTACCTATTAGGTTATAATTAAAATATACATGAATTGCTTCTCTTTCCAAATAATTTGCAGAATTTAAAATGTTGCTTCAGATCAACATGAGTAACAGATCACTAGGAAATTTTATTTTGTTGATCTTTCTATTAAACCTATATAATTTAAGCAATGATAATCAGAATAAAATTAATGTCATTACTATTCATCTTCTACTCATACAAAACCTAAGAGTTAGCCTGATCAATATGTTGTGAATAAACTGCTTTGTTTTGGACAGTTAGTTTTGTTTGTTTGTTTTAATTGGTGATTACTGCTAGAACAGCCGATTTAAACACAAGACCAAATGAGATGAAACAGTAAATTATTGGGGCCCGTGTTGCAGGCTTCCCACGTGGGCATCACTTCCAAGTACTGGCTCTTCTATTTCCAATCCAGCTCCCTGCAAATGGCCTGGGAAAAAGCAACAGAAGATGGCCCAATGCTTGGGCCCTTGCCACCCATGTGGGAAACCCAGAAGCTCCTGGCTCCTAATTTCGGCTTGGCTCAGTGCTGGCCATTGGCAGTTGTCTGGGGAGTAAACAGCACATGGAAGATTCTCTCTCTCTCTTTCTCACTTTAATTCTGATTTAGAGATAAATAAATAAGTCTTTTTTTTAAAAAAAAAAAAAAAAGGATATAATGACCACCTCAGTATTATTTTCCATCACGTTTTTTTTTGTACACATTTAATTGTAACTTTAGTGAATCAAAAGACCATATAGAGTACACCAGCTTGTGTTAAGCAGTGGGCCTATCCATATAGACTACTTTGATGTAAACTACTAATCATTGATTTCAGATGGATCAATGTTAAGCCATTTCAGTGTCATGAGTTTGGCTGATTTTGATAAAAGTGTAAATAAAACGAATGAATAAAAACAAGCCAAGAACAAAAGCCTGCATTGCTGGGGCTGGCAGAGCCACAGGATAAAGAAGTCGGGTTAAAGTACTGCCATCTCCAAGGGCCCGGAGCAAAGCACTGGGGCAAGACACAAAGTCAGTGGATAGCAGCAGTTCATGAAGTTACTCTCCATGAAGGTTTTCGGAGTAGGTCACCTAGGTGCTAGTCAATGTTTGTATCAACATACTGAAGCTGTGATTTACGTGACTCAGAATTTTCTAGATCTCTTTATGAAAAGTTGGCCTGCTCTAGAGTTAGCTGCTGAGGTATGTTGTCCTTCCTGGAAGGAAGCAGCTCCAAGGCATCCACAGTTAAATCAGAACCAAGAATGAGATATATTTAAATGGAATCTCTTTTCCATATGAAGTCAATTTGTCCTTTTACACTTGGAAGATCAGTTTTCTCTTTAATCATTTGCTGCTTAATTTCCTCCCTTTTTCTATCCAACTTCACAAAGGAAAAGGCAAGAACACTTAATATTGTTTGCAAATCATCTGGTCTTAATTTTGTGATTAATTAGAAAATACTGAGACAAATCTTCTAATGGCTCACTCTTATGACTTCTGCTATCCCACTTCCAATATGCTTACCTTAAAGAGCAGTTAGCATGACAAGTATACCCAGCAAGCACACTTTTTATTCTTAAGTTATTCACTGACACACATTCATCTGTTAGGGTTAACTCATGGTGTTAAACAACATTTACAGGGATACCTCTTTTCATTGTGCTTATTTCTCAATATGGAAAATATTAAAGTGTCAGTAATTTTATCCTTCTAGTCTAGTCCAACGTCTTATCTACCTTTTTGCGACCCAAAACATCTTTTCTGGACTTGAAAAAATGTGAATTTGTCCCCTACTCACCTTCCTAGAGTGGCCACAAAGTTACTCCAGACACATTCCTTTCTCTCTGTGTTATTCGTTCTTCGGAGTTCTAAAAGTCTTGGACCTCAAGAAGTCAAGAACCTAAATGTTTGAGAATATCTCTTCATAAGTTTCCTCCCCTTTTTTTTTATTTCCATCAACACACTACGACAATGGGTCACTTCTAAACATTGATTTCTTGCTTAAATTGTTGCTCTTTTTCCTAGTGTGGAAGTGAGAGTGTTAGGTTGAATACATGTTACTGTTTACTATTTCTGATTGGCTGCTTCAAGATCAAATCACTGAAGAAATGCTGCCCTGGAATTGGAGAGGCTATACCTGAGGCTACAAGATCAAAAGCTTCCTATTCGTGTAAACTGCCACATTTAAAAGATAATTATTGGGGCTGGGCCTGTGGCTTAGTAGGCTAAGCCTCTGCCTGCTATGCCCACATCCCATAGACATGGTTCCTGTCCTGGCTGCTCCTCTTTCTATCCAGCTCTCTGCTTATGGCCTGGGAAAGCAGTGGAAGATGGCACCTGCATAAGAGAACAGAAGAAACTCCTGGCTTCAGATGGGCTCAGCTCAGGGAGACCGTTTGGGGGGTGAACCTGCATATGGAAGACCTTTCCCTCTGTCTCTCCTTTTCTCTGTCTGTAATTCTACCTCCCAAATAAATAAATAAAGTCTTAAAATGTTGAGGTGCATTTGTTCTGAGAGGAGGAGTATGGTGGGGGCAAGAGGCGCGGAGTCACCACACAGACTCTGCGAGTCAGGTGAAAGCAAGCCAGAGGCGAGCAGCCCGCAGACTCGTTTATTTCAGTTGGTACAGCAGCTTAAATAGCCAAGACAGCCAATCTGTAAATTGTGGTCTATGCCCTAACCAATCACAGCCTGTTGCCAGGCAGTTTCCGAAGCCATCCAGTCACAGCCTGTTGCCAGGCAGGCTCCATTACCAGTGGCCATCTTGGCATCACCTTCTCATTCCACCACATTAAAAGACAAATTATAAAAAGGAAACACAATTTATTAAAAAAAAAACTTTTCCAAAAAAAAGGATAATTATTGAGGTGTTTCCAGTACTTTTTTTTAAAAAAATTAAGGCAATGTGGTAGTTCAATTAGGACAAAAATAAATGTAATATTCATATAATAGCCTATTCAGCATCAGATGAGCTTGTTTTTATTAATAATTTTTAATGATATGAGAACATTTATGATTCTAATGAAGCAAAAAATAAAACATGTTAAATATGATCTTTCCTTTAAAAAGATTGATTTAATTATTTGAAAGGCAGACCGACAGAGAGGAAGAAAGAGAGAGAGACATAGAAACTCTGTTCCATCTGCTGGATCACTCCCTAAATTGCCACAGTGGCTGCATCCAGTCCAAGTCAAATCCAAGAGCATGGAACCCCATTTGGGTCTAACACATGGGTGGCAGTGGCCCAAGCCTTTGTACCATCTTTTGCTGCCTTTCCAGACACATTATCAGGGAACTATATTAGAAGTGGAGCTGGCTGGACTTGAACAGGGCTCATGGGATGCCAGCATTGCAGGTGGCCACTTAACCCACTGTGCTGCAACACCAGCCCTATTAGGTATGATCTTAACTAGGTAAAGAAAAAGATTTAAGGGGATAAGGGGAGAGGGTGAAAACATCTTAGCAGAGCAAGTTAAGCTGCTGCCTGCAATTCTGGCATATGCCAGTTCAAGTCTCAGCTGCTCCACTTCTGACTCCCCCCCCCCCACTAATGTGCTTAGGTATCCCCTAAAACCCACATCGGAGACCCAGATAGAGTTTGCAGGTAGAAGATCTCCCTCTCTCTAACTCTACCTTTCAAACAAATAAATAAACCTTTAAAAAAAGAAAAGAAAAAATCTATAGCTAAATAATGTTAGGAAGATAGCAGAATAGAGAAGCTTATTGTTCTAGTATAAGGGAAGATAGTTTTAAAAATTAAAAGGCATGGAGAGAGAGCAACCTCAGGAAAGAGTTAGGGAGAAAACTCCATGCAAATTAAAGGGACACTGTAGATCTACATGGAGGGTGTGGACACACACAACATAAGACACCAGCAGCTAAGAACATCAGCACCAGCTTTGGAGAGTGAGATGAGACCAGATGGAAGCAGCCCAAGCCACTAGAGATAAAGCCACAGGAAGAGCCTAGCGTGAGCCAGCTTGGAACCCTGTGGGGACAGTGTAGCTGCCACCTAAAGGTAAAAAAAGGGGGGCATGTTTCTCTCCACCAGATGACCTGGCACTGGTGTTCTGTAACTAGGCGAGAGGAAGTGGGTACCATTTTGGACATACATAACAGCTGTGCCAGCTCATGTCTACACCCCAGCAACCAGCTGAGAGAAGATGCCTGAGTCTGGGAGAATTGACAGGCAGCTAGGTGCTCATAACTGTGGGAGCCTTGTGTGCCGGGGCTGTGAAAACACTGTGGCTGCATGTGAAGGTGCAGGATGTGGCTGGGTCCTCAGGCAGTCACTGTGGACAGCTCCACATACTTGGGTCTCCCTGATTCCCTGGTGGGGATCAATGCTGCAGGATCCATGCTCACACCGAGGACTGCACAGATCATTTGTGTGGTTCTTGTGGCAGTGAGAATGAATATTATATCCACTATGCCTAGCGGGCAGGCATTGGTCTCCTTGAAGGAGAGGAGGTGAGCATGAAACTATGCCAACAGAGCAGAACAAACCTCCCCTCTGCTTAAAAAAAAATACCATGCTCAATTTGTGTATTACCTTAGACACTCCCCTCAACCTAGAGCACTGAACAGAACTCCCTGGCCACACCAAGCACACACCTCTTGGTAGTCACTGAAAGACCAAATACTCCACTAATCCACAGAGGAATAGTTCAAAGATAAAAGTTATCACAGAGGAAAAAAGAAAACCGACAAGTATCTCCACAATACCTAAAAATAAACACAGCAATTCAAGAAACAAGAATAAGGAAGACACTATGACACCTTCAAAGGAACACAACACTTCAGCACAAGAATGTGAAAATGAAGAGATTGAAGAAAAGCTGGAAATGGCACTGAAAAAGTTGATTGTAGGATTACTTGGAAGTAATCAAAAGCAAATCCACAAATTGAAGAAATTCATACATGACATGAATGAACATTTTTCCCATGAAATTGAGATTTTAAAGAGAAATCAGAATGAAATATTGGAAATGAAGATTTCAACAGATCAAATAAAAAATGTGGTGGAAACCTTGACAACAGACTTGATGAGGTAGAAGAAAAAATATCCATGTTAGAGGACAAATTTCTGGAAATTTTACAGTCAGATCAAAAACAAGAAGAAATTAGAAAACTAATAAAACAATGTTGGAAAATTATGGGATACTATCAAATGACCCAACATATGGGTCTTGGGAATACCTGAAGGCATGGAAAGAGATAATGGATTAGAATGCCTTTTAGTGAAATTATTACAGAAAACTTCCCTAATTTGGAGAAAGAAAGGGACATCCAAGTACATGAAACACATAGAACTCCTAATAGACATGACCAGAAAAGACCTTCACCATAACATATTGTAGTCAGATTTTCCACAGTAAAACATAAGAAAAGATTCTAAAATGTGCATGAGAGAAATGCCAGATTACTTTCAGAGGATCTCCAATTAGACTCACAGCTGACTTCTCATCAGAATCACTACAAGCTAGGAGAGAATGGCAAGATACAGTCCAAGTCTTTAAAAAAAATCAACTCTGGAAAGCTCTCATTTATGAATGAAGGTGAAATAAAGACTTTCCATAACAAACAGAAATTGAAAGAATTTGTCACCACTCATGCATGCAGCCTTACAAAAGATGTTTAAGGATGTGCTGCACACACATAAAAAAAAAAAAACAGAAAGATAGTCATCATTATGAAAGAATGTGAAGGCAGAAAATCCTCCAGAAAAAGTACAAAAGAAATTAAAAGTAAACAACAGGAATATTTATGGAAAAATGGCAGGGGCCAAGTTGATATTTAATAGTCACCTTGAATGTCAATGGCCTCAGCTCTCCAGTTAAAATATACAGACTGGTTGAATAGATTATAAAACAAGACTAACTATTTTCCTGTCTACAAGAAACATATCTCACCAACAAAGATGCACGCAGACTGAAAATGAAAGGATGGAAAAAGATATTCCATGCTAACCAAAACCAAAAAAGAATTGGTGTTCTCATCCTAATAGCAGACAAAATAGACTTTAACACAAAAACTGTTAAAAAAGACAAAGAAGGGCATTATGCAATGATTAAGGGATCAAATTCAACAAGAAGATGTGACTATAATAATTGTATACACACCTTATTACAAGGTACATGACTATTTCAAATAAATGTTAATGTATCTAAAGGGAGACATAGACTCCCATACAATAGCAATGGGGACTTCAATATCCCACTTTCAGCAATGGAAAGATCAACCAGATAGAAAATCAGGAGGGAAACAACAGTTAATCAACACTATAGACCAAATGGACCTAACAGTTATTTACAGAACTTTTCATCCTACAGTTGCAGAATACACATTTCTTATCACAAAACTTTCTCTAGGATTGACCACATGCTAGGCCATAAAGCTAGTCTCAGCAGATTCAAAAAAGTCAAAATCATACCATTTATCTTCTCTGACCACAATGGAATGAAGCTGGAAAACAACAACTCAGGAATCTCTAGAATATATGCAAACACATGGAGACTGAACAACATGCTCCTAAATGAAATCAAAAGAGAAAGCAAAAAACTGTTGAGGAACATTTTTTTTTTTCATACTATTTGTTGAACTCTTTACTTAGTATAGGGATAGGAGATGGAGGAGGAAGAAGGGTGGGAGAGCAAATGGGTGGGTACAGTGAGAAGAATCATTATGTTCCTAAAGTTGTATTTATGAAATTCATGAAGCTTGTATACTTCAAATATAAGGTTTCTGAAGGAAAAAAATAGTAGGATACAAATTGGAAATTGCTATTATCTTGTATGGTAAATAATTTTTCTGTTTCTTTGGATTTCTCTGTCTTTCTCTGTATATCTCTATATATATATGTGTGTGTGTGTGTGTGTGAATAAGTTTACTTTTTTGCA